CCTCCGTCCGTCCTGCCTGCCTTTTTCGGGGAAGGGGCCCCGGTCGGTCCCCCTGGGAAGGAAAAGGGGACCGTCAGGCGAAACCTCCGAGGGGGATCCGGCCTGGAGGGGCTTCCAGGGAGGCGGCCGGAGTCCCCGTTTCTCCGGGGCGGCCCAAGGGCTCCTCCTGCCTCGGGCGGCGGGCGCAGAGAAGCGGCGGCTCCGTCCTGGGAGTCTCCCTGAGGCGAAAGGCCCGGAATCTCCTCCTCCTCCTCCCTCGGCTTCCTCGCCCGCTTCCCCTCCTCCGCGCCGGAGCCTCCCGGCCTCCCTCCCTCCTTCCCCCACGGAGCCTTTCCGGGGGTCTCCTCAGGAGAGGCCGGGGGTCCCTGCCCTTCCGCTGGGAGGCCGAGCCCGAGAAGGGCGACTGCGCGGAGGGAGCGGGAGGGAGGCGGAGAAAGGAGGGACCGTCCTTTCCCCCCTCGGGGCCCCCCTGCCCACCTCCCTCCCGCCTCCCCTGCTACTCCCAAGCCCATCATCCCTTCCCCCTCCCATGCGCTCCTCTTTCCCGCCCTTTCTACCCTCCTGCCCCTTTGCCCCGAATCCACCAGGGGGAGCCCTCCGCCAAGGGAATGGAACTCTAGGTGCTTCCCCACTGGGCCGCTGGAGGGCAAAGTGACATCACTGAGCCTTGCCTCTCTAGGACGCCTCACTCGCTCTCCTCCATCCCTGGGGCGCCGCAGGAAGCGGCTGAGGGAGAGCCTAGTAGGGAAAGGACATCCAGACGGGCCCCGGGTGAGAGGGGGGGGCTCTTCCCGGGTCCCATGCTCCCCAGTCGCCCTCTCTATGCGAAGAGGGCCCGGTCCTGTCTCCAGAAGGGGAGAGAAGCGGCGGGGGGGGCTCTCAAGCTGCCTCCTTCCTGGCCCTGCTGGGGGGTTGGGGGGTGGGCCCTGTGCTGGGAGGAGCCGCTTGGGGGAAGCGGGTCCAGGTCTGAATCCTCCTTTCTGATGCTGGGCATCGGTTTCTCTCTCCCTCCCAGATCCGGAACCTCAGAGTCTTCCGCAGCCTTTCCAAGCCAGGATTTCCTCTGCAGAGGAAGGAACGAAGGAAGGAAGAGAGCGGAATCACCGGTAGGGATCCGTCCTGCGACCCCAGAAATGGTCCCATGAAGGAAGAGGCCCCTGGAGACCCCCCACAGTCCCTGGAGCCCTTTGGAGTTGCTCTGCCGGAGAGAGGAAGGATGGAGACACCCCCTTTGCCTAAGGAGGGGAGTGGAAAAGGCCCCATAGTTCTTCAGCCTGGGAACTGTGGGGAGAGCTGGACCAGAACCGGGCAGAAGGTCCTGCAGGAGGGAACCATCCTCCCTTCAGAAGTTCAGCCCTGGACCTCCATCCAATACCGGGAGTCGGAGGGTCACCGAGAGCTTTGCAGCCGACTCCATGATTTGTGCAGGCGATGGCTGAGCCCAGGAAAGCACAGCAAAGCCCAGATGCTGGACCTGGTGGTTCTGGAGCGGCTCCTGGCTCTCCTGCCCCCAGAGATGGAGGGCTGGGTGCGGGAGTGTGGAGCAGAGAGCAGCTCCCAGGCGGTGGCCCTGGCGGAAGGCTTCTTCCTGAGCCAGGCAGAGGAGCAGAAGGAGCAACTCCAGCTGCAGGTGAGAGACTTTAGGGAGCTCAGAAGGGGATAAATAGAGAAAGTGTTTGAATGCTTCACCCCTCCTTTCCAAACTTCTCCCACATTCATAATATGAGGCAATTCTCCAGTTCTTATAGGACATTGTTCCATTGTTTTCCCACTCAGCCACACAGATGGATATTGGAGGCTTTGCGGTTGTTTTCTGAATATAAAAATCCACTTTATTTCTGGTGATGTACATTAATTCTGCTTTTTTCTTTCTTCCTCTTATTTGAAGTGCTGCACTGTGGAGATCAGAGATCCTGAGGGAAAGAAGAACCCATCAAATCCCACTCAGGAGCTATTTTTCAGGAGGATCCCTTGGAAAGATCCAAGTCAGGACACCTCAGGAGGTAATGGAAGATCCTCCAATTCCCCATCTGTCTTGCTTTCCCTCCTTTCCTATAGAATACCTCCTCCTATTTTGTTAATTATGCATTTTGAAATTAT